ATTTTAAATGTCAAAGGATCTAGATGATTAAGTGATAAACATTAAAAGATCTGGATATAGTTATCCCAAATATTAAACATATATTGTTTGAATCTTAAAATTTTCATTTGTTCTTTCTACCCTAATAATAACCGTGATACAAGATTTTTTTTTATCAGAGGATAACCACAACATTTACGCTTAAAAGTGTAAGACTGCAGAATCCATATAACCCACACACACCCAAAGACTATCCGTGATACAAGGTTGATCTACAGCATTGCCCCTTCCTAAAACATTAATCCCCTCCTACTATATAAAGAAATACCCAGCACCACTTTGTCCCAAGCAAATTTGGGTCAAATACATAAATTCTAATCCATAGTCACAACCAAAATTGGATCAGATACATGAATTCTAATCCGCCATTGGATTTTATCAAACACCGTACTTTCAACCCTGGGAAGTAATCCAGTGACCAAACATGCTCTCTTACAAGTAAGAGATCTGAAATTCGATACTTCTTACTCTTTAAGAGTCAACCAACATTATTCCTCATAAGATATATCTTTAAATTAACTCAAGTTATGTTGGCCGACTCAAAATTCGAGGGAGTAATCAACATAAACTTGAATACCCCAGTAACCAAAAGAAAAACACCATACTTAATACATTGAAAGACTTTATTTCCCACTACAAATATATACCACAATTTACCCAATTCAACCGTACCAAATTTATGAACTACGCAAGAGACCTCAAAATTCTCACTTCTCAGCTACTCCAACAGATAAATAAGGCACTCCAGCCGTATCCAAGTGCCAGTAAAATAACATGCAAAGCATTAGTCGCATAATACAACTCAAGAGGTAGTCCCAATGTTTCCCCTTTGCTACCATACAAAGCTGTTCCATTCCAAGCTCATTCTTCTGTACCCGAACTTTTCCAACAAAATGAAAAGCAGAGCATAAATTTCACATGCTTCCTCCTATCAAGTGTTGAAAAAAATTCTCAACCACAATGATATGAACCATGCTCTCCAAAAAAACAGCCAACACAAATTGCACTTGCCACGCAAAATCAGATCTCAAGATGGGACGGAAACACTAACAATATGCTAAAAGCTGCAACAATATAAGCAGAGTAACAAACAGAGGTTGCAAACAAGTCTAAAGTTCTATTAAAACCTCATTGGGACAAAAACAAGGCATAAAATACTGACAATCTTAGAATCCTCAAAAATTATCCAAGCCGCATAGCATAGATTATGTTTGAATCTTAAGAATCCTGCATAATATCCAAAAAAACTCATCCCACAAATGCAGGGCTTCACTACCAAGGAAACTTGATTGTATCAGAACTGCATCTGCACTCCGTTAATCAACCCAACACACTCATGAAACAAGGAGGGATAGCGAGGCCAATTGGTCAGCTGGGCTGTTTGCCTGATGAACATTCCTCAGGACCTCCATAGCCTCAGCAACTTTTGCCTTCAAAGCATCTGATGACTCAAGTAAATGCAAAACCTCAGTCTGGTCCATCTCCAGGTGCATGCCAGTTACCTTGGCTGCATGCTCATGCTCCAGCTGATCCACAAGTGGATACAAATTTTCACCCAACATCTGCCCATTCAAAAGAAAACTTGTTAATAAGCAAACTACAACCACTGCAGTATCCAAACAGATAATGGTAAAAGGCTTACCGTCCTCTGTTGTTCAACCGGTACATTTGCAAGGGCAGAAGCCAAGGCAGTAATTGGCATAGGCTGTCCCATTGCGGCATCTCGAGGAACCATGCCACCCATGTCATACGGAACAGAGAGCATGCTTCCAGCAATACCCGGCATTGGTAATTTGGTACTTCTGGCATATGGCGAAAAGAACAGCAACAAACATTATTTACCCAATTCATAAGGAAAAATGAAGAGTGCAAGGGAAATAAAGTACCACATAATAACCGAACTGCTGCTGCATCAGAGGCACTTGCTGTTGAGTTTGTTGAACAGGACCTGCTCCACGTCTCCCATCAGGGCGCTGTCCCTGCTGACCTTGCAGGACCATTGGCACAAAGAAATTCGGCATAGGACCTCCACCAGGTCGCATCCCTAGAACAAGCTGCTGCCGATAGCCAAATCCTCCCTGAAAAATGTATCTCTTCAGTTCATTTTACTTCTATCCAAAGTGACTGCTTAACATATCCAGAAATTCATACAAAAATCTTCAATATAGGAATAGCTTAGCCAAAACACAACATACCATCGCAGAATCTATTAGCAAAATACTGTCATTTTCAAATAAAAATACCAATTTATCGCACTTTTGAACTTATTTACCAATTTACTATAGTTTTTAAAAGCAAAATCAACAATTTCACTTTCGCTACGAAAGCGGGATCAATAAGAACATTTTTAATATTTACAAAAATGTCTTTTTCCTTTTTTGTTGTATCACATGGTAAAAGCGGAGTCAACAATTCCGCTTTCAAAATAGTAGTAAATCAATAAATAAGTTTAAAAATACGATAAATGAATATTTTTGTTTAAAAAAAACNTGCATGCCAGTTACCTTGGCTGCATGCTCATGCTCCAGCTGATCCACAAGTGGATACAAATTTTCACCCAACATCTGCCCATTCAAAAGAAAACTTGTTAATAAGCAAACTACAACCACTGCAGTATCCAAACAGATAATGGTAAAAGGCTCACCGTCCTCTGTTGTTCAACCGGTACATTTGCAAGGGCAGAAGCCAAGGCAGTAATTGGCATAGGCTGTCCCATTGCGGCATCTCGAGGAACCATGCCACCCATGTCATACGGAACAGAGAGCATGCTTCCAGCAATACCCGGCATTGGTAATTTGGTACTTCTGGCATATGGCGAAAAGAACAGCAACAAACATTATTTACCCAATTCATAAGGAAAAATGAAGAGTGCAAGGGAAATAAAGTACCACATAATAACCGAACTGCTGCTGCATCAGAGGCACTTGCTGTTGAGTTTGTTGAACAGGACCTGCTCCACGTCTCCCATCAGGGCGCTGTCCCTGCTGACCTTGCAGGACCATTGGCACAAAGAAATTCGGCATAGGACCTCCACCAGGTCGCATCCCTAGAACAAGCTGCTGCCGATAGCCAAATCCTCCCTGAAAAATGTATCTCTTCAGTTCATTTTACTTCTATCCAAAGTGACTGCTTAACATATCCAGAAATTCATACAAAAATCTTCAATATAGGAATAGCTTAGCCAAAACACAACATACCATCGCAGAATCTATTAGCAAAATACTGTCATTTTCAAATAAAAATACCAATTTATCGCACTTTTGAACTTATTTACCAATTTACTATAGTTTTTAAAAGCAAAATCAACAATTTCACTTTCGCTACGAAAGCGGGATCAATAAGAACATTTTTAATATTTACAAAAATGTCTTTTTCCTTTTTTGTTGTATCACATGGTAAAAGCGGAGTCAACAATTCCGCTTTCAAAATAGTAGTAAATCAATAAATAAGTTTAAAAATACGATAAATGAATATTTTTGTTTAAAAAAAACAATAATTGGATAATAGATTCTATCATCGCAGCCCCATACATGAACTTGACTAGCTATGAAAATTCACACTTCCATGCAATCTATCACTTCCACACGCAAACAAAAAAGAATTATTGAACTGGGATTAGAATAAGATTCATATATCCAACTATATCACAACACCCAAACTCCAGCCTCCAAGTGGACAGCCCCTAGGGAAGTAGCACCTGTCAGAAATTCCAACTAGTAGACATTACAATAGTGTGTAAGTGGAAGAATACTGTGGTCTACATCAAAGGTTGGAACAGGGAAATGACAACACCGGTACCAATATTAAAGCACGTTTAGATAGAAAGAAAACATTTGATTGTGTCCAAGCTGTGCTAAGTTGAGCTGAGATATAAATAGCATCACAAATTGAAAAAGAAGATGACACAGAAAGGAAACACATGAGAGAGAGAGATTTATAATCACCAAACTATAAAAAAAAGTTGAAAAAATTAATAATAGCAACAACTAGTTCAAGTAAAAGTATGACTTGCACCACCAAGTAGGATGGTCTATTGAGGTACCGGCCGTATTCTACACCTTGAAGTTGGGAGTTTGAATCTTGAAGTTTTCGTTGAAGCTTGGTGATTGGCCGTTATATTATTTTAGTTATGTTTGGTCCTAAAAGGTGTTTCAGGCGCGATTAGGGATATTATGATTCCATCGGTGAGGGCCTATTGGAGTAGTCGTTGCGCACTCTTTCTTACCCCCACCCTTTTTTTATAACCAGCGAAAAAAAAAAAAAAAACAAAGAAGGGAAGTATGGCTTGCATTCCATTTCATTTTCTTGGGGTGGACAGATGCACCGTTCCCCGCCAAAATTTTTAACGGCTGTAAAAATAACCAGAGAAGTTCACTTAACTACCACTTGTACGTAGGAATCTCTCTCTCTCTCTCTCTCTCTCTCTCTCTAGCACACAGTGACGCAGAGATGAACACCCTATACTCATTCCACACTCGGCGCTCCATTCTCTCTCTTGCCCGTCTCATCCTCCTCCACTGCCCCACAAACCCTAGCCCTAATCTTCAAACACTCTCTCACAGTCACAGGCTCTTCTCCGAGCAATCATGGCTCTCCTATCCGGGTAACCCCCTAATCAAGTGGCCCCAACCATCATCACCATACCCAAAACCCCAATCGACGCCACCTCTCTCCTCCCCTTCCCCACTACTCCTAGCCGAAAACCCTAAAAACCCTAACACTGACTCCAATTTCAACTACACTGACTTCACTACCATTTGTGACCTCCTCGCAAATCCTAATATCCAACCCGGTCCGGCTCTCGAAGCTGCCTTAGACCAGACAAAAATTGAACTGGGTCCGTCTCTTTTACACGAAATATTCAACCATTTTGATTCTTCTCCTAAACCCTTGTTCACGCTATATCTCTGGGCTGAGAAACAACCCGGGTACCGATTCTCCGTGGCCCTGTTAAATTCCATGATTAATGTCCTTGGTAAAGCCAAAGAATTTGATTCCGCATGGTCTCTAATTCGTGGTCGGCACAATGCCAATGAGGGAGCTGATATGGATACGTTTGCTATTATGATTAGGCGGTATGCTCGTGCAGGTATTCATTTGCCTGGGATTTGTGTTTTTCTGCATTGGGATCTGCATGTAGTTCAGACCCAGTTCGTCAGTTTGGAAAAAAAACTTTAAGATTCAGTTAGTTCTGTAGTTGCTTAAATTGGTCCTAATGGACCATCTGAATTTGGGTCTTTACATGGTATGCTCGGGTAGTTAATTTCTTGCCTGCAATTCTTTTGGTTTGTACATTGATATTTACTTATATTTTGGAGCTAAATTAGTTGGGAAAAAAACTAGTAGGTTGCATAGTTGTTCACATACATTGATTCAACAAATTTGATGTAAAGATAAAAAACTCATAATATGCAGATGTAACATATTTTTATGGGTGTATAGATAAGAGAATGAGCCGTCTCGTTACCACATATTTTCCCATTGATGAATCAGCACAATCAAACCTCATTGCTTAGTTTTTTGCAACATTAGTGAGCAGCCCAATTTTCAGAGATACAGAAAGAAAAAAAAAGGTCTTCAAGGTATCTTTTCAGTCCCATAGGAAGTAGTTTTACATAACACTCGTCTAAGCCAGTACCTTATATTACGTATATTTATTTACATATGAAATTTAGATTTGTTTTGTTGTTCAGATGAATGGTTAAGGTTGTTTTTTAATGGTTTTGCAGGTATGCTTCAACCAGCAATTCAGACATTTGCATTTGCATCTAACTTAGACCTAATTCGTGACTCAAACTTGGAACTAAATTTGTTTGAGATCCTGTTAGACTCTTTTTGTAAGGAGGGACATGTTAGGGAAGCATCAGAATATTTTGATAAGAAAAGGGGACTGGACCCAAGTTGGGTTCCATCAACACGGGTTTATAATATACTATTAAATGGCTGGTTTCGGTCAAGAAAGCTTAAACAGGCCGAACGGCTTTGGCTGGACATGCAAAAGGAGAATATAAGACCGAGTGTTGTAACATATGGTACCCTTGTGGAAGGGTATTGCCGAATGCGTCGTCTTGAGATGGCGATTGAATTGGTGGGTGAGATGAGGAAGGAAGGAATGGAGCCAAATGCAATTGTGTATAATCCCATCATTGATGCATTAGGAGAAGCTGGTAGGTTTAAGGAGGCATTAGGGATGATGGAACGGTTTTTAGTTTCGGAATCAGGTCCTACGATATCTACCTATAATTCCCTTGTGAAAAGTTTTTGCAAGGCAGGGGATCTTGCAGGGGCTAGCAAAATCCTTAAGATGATGATCAGTAAAGGATTTGTGCCAACTCCTACGACTTATAATTACTTTTTTAGGTACTTCTCAAAATTAGGGAAAATTGAGGAGGGGTTGAACCTCTATACCAAGATGGTTGAATCTGGGTACATTCCCGACCGGCTCACTTATCAGCTGTTAGTGAAGATGTTATGCGAGCAGGAGAGATTGGGCCTGGCAATGCAAATGATTAAGGAGATGAGAGCCAGGGGATGTGATCTGGACTTGGCTACAAGTACCATGCTGATACATTTATTGTGCAAAATGCATCGATTTGATGAGGCTTTGGGGGAGTTTGAGGACATGATTAGGAGAGGAATTGTTCCTCAATACATTACGTGTCACAAAATGAGCGATGAGCTTAAGAAGCATGGAATGACTAAAATGGTAGAAAAACTAAGTGATTTAATGGCTTCTGTCCCTCTCTCAATGAAACTGCCAAATACCTACAGGGAAGATGGAGATACATCACGGAGAAGGAAAACATTTGTTTTGCGGAAAGCTGAAGCGATGTCTGATATCTTGAAGACATGCAGGGATCCGAGAGAACTTGTCAAGCATAGAAGTCCACCGGTGAATTCTGTTGTGAATGCAAACAGGTTGGAGGGTGGTATTAAAAGGTGAATTAACTTAATGTGAATCTCTGAATGTTTGAAAATGTACTGTCTACAAGAGTGGAAAGAGCTTTTTTATGCCTTTGAAGTTGTATAACTCGGGTGTGAAAAGTTGATGGAAATATGTCATGGGGTTTCTTTCCTATGCCAGGCATGTGTAATGATAAAGTTTATGTGGCTTTCACCAATTAGATGTGGTGTACAAGTTGAGCTGAAGTGCTTAGAAGCTGCTGAACAGATTCATCAGAGGTGGAAAACGGGGTGGTCCTCAAAGCTTCATGGTGGAAGGTATGCAAATAACAATTTAATAAGACATTTGTTGGTAGAGACAGGATATCACATGCAGGGGAGATTGTCTTATATCTTTTAGTTTCTTGTACTTTCAATCTTTTAGATTCGAATGCCACAACCGTGATTTCTTGAAGTTTCCAATCCATCATAATGTTCAACTCTATATAGGCAAGCAACAATCTACTTGTTTATTTGTTTTTACAGAGATCCCTTCCTCAACTATCATTCATGGATGGACCCTGTGCCTAATCTGTTATTCATTGCTTCTTGCATAACTTCTATAAAGAGTTACAGGATGTAGTATGCTGGTGAGATTCTCAGGTATCAGTTAGTTTCTGTTTCACTTGCAGTCTGTTTTGCTCTTGTAATATGGCATTCAAATCAAATGGTGAGGGTGTAGATAGCACTTGTGATTTCTTGATGTTATTCATATGTTATTATTGCTTGTCCAAAATTTGCCATTCTATGTATTTAACTTTTAAGGGGTCCTTCAGTTTCATTCCACGGTTGGACCCTGTTCTTGTTCTGTTATTCGTCACTACTTGCATGACTTCTTAATAAATTTAACTATGGATCATATGGCAGCTTTGTTCAACTTAATTTTTTGGTGTCCTATTATGTTTTACAAGTTCTGTTTCACATGGAGTCTCACACTTGCATTCGTCTTGGTGCATAATTATTCATCTTCAAACTTGCTTGAGGTACTGCACCACCCTACTTTGCAAGAAAATAACACTGCATTTTCTCTCTTGATGTATCTTATGTTTCTCAGTTTGTCCTGAGCCTATTCTGAATTTCTGATCTGTAGGCTTTGCAACTTCAATTATCTTTCGTTTTGTCAGCGTATTATTCTTTTACATTGCATGCTATGAAACATGGAGAATCAATAGGTGCTAAAAAATGGCAGATCAGCGCATAAATGCAATTCTCATTAAAAAATATCTTCTTGTTTGCAAGTTTTCTTTTGTTTATGCATATAACTTTCTTTGTCAAACCACTTGAAGTAGAGTGTCGGATTTTGTTACAGGCTTGCTTGGACTTCGTCTGACCCTAGACCATTTTACAAGAATGTATAATGGTTATAAACAAATTGTTATAAGGTGATTATAATGATTTCCTGTCAGAGAGCTTTCGATATTAAGAGGGTTTCCTTGGCATGTTTGATGCAGCTATGCACACCTATAAAAATGGATTTTGTCAAGCTGATTTATGGTTAGGAGAAATTACCTTGCATAGAGACGCAGATGAGGGTGCTCTGATTTTACTGAGCAAGTTACATTAAGTTGCACCCTTGGGACAAAATGTACGGGATCTATCCTTGAAAATTTTTGATAACCTAGATAATTCTCATATATAGCCTCATTAAAATATGCAGTTTTTTTTTTTTATCTATCTACCCATCTATATACGCACACAACCATACACACTTATAAAAGGAAGTAACACATTTTTCCCCATCATCTGGTTTTTGTCATTGAGTGATGCTATTAGTTCCGAAAACTGACCTAATGATGTGACTATGACATGGTCCAATAAGATTATTGTGTAACTGTTGAACTTTGTCATTGGAACTCTATCACTTAACACACCATTATGTCAGCAAATTAGGTTAATTTTTTAGGTCTCAATAACATTACTCTTTGTCATTTTCTTCTTCTCTTTCCCCTTCGTGTGTTGTGGCGGTGGATAATACATGATGAATGAACTAATCAAATTGATATTACACTGTTTTGATGTTTACTGGAGTTTCATATGGTTTCAATTTGTGTTCAATGCAACAGGTTTGCATTGAACAAGAGAAACTTCTGGAATCTAGTACCAGTTTATCCTTGCCAGTATAATGACTTATGAAGGGATTATCTTCTTTCAGCATTAGCTGGTTGCAGTTTTATGATCATCAAAGACTTCACATAGCTGCTCGCTTTTTTGAGGCGGCTACTGGTGCTGAACCCAAGTTTTGTCCATAAATTCTGTTCGATGGCTCACTCGAGTTAGTGGAGGTACGAGAGCAAAAACTGCCCGATCACTCCTCTTTCTGGTTAGAAGGCCTTAGCTTACTCTGGTTATTTGTTATTGAATCAATATTTCCAGAAAGTTAGTGTTCTTTCAAATTGAAAATTTGATGACCGATAATTTGTGGAGATCTCTTTGTCATCATAATCCCAATAATCATCCTCCTGATTCCTGTAACTATGACACTATCTAAGATAAACAATGCACTATGGTTGTAAACTTAAATCAAATAAAGAAGAGTGAAAGAAACTAGAAGAAAGAAACTATTATTGAAGCATAACTAGGTAGAACAACCTTAAAAAAACATTACATATAAGAGGTTTTTATATAATAGGGTAAAAGGAAAATAAACAAATTAAGTTAGGACAACATAAAAGAAAACAAATGTCTAAACTACTCTTAAGTCTAAATATGCTAACTATGCTAACACCCTCCTTCAAACTCATGGTGTGGGAGCAGAAAACATCAAGAGTTTGCTAAGAAAAAAACGGAAGCACGCGATGGTGTGAGATTTCGTAAAGAAACAATCAGCAAGTAGCTAACACAACTAAACTATCTTTGTTGTTGTGAATGTCAGAGCATGATACTCAGATTCAACAGATGATCGAAGCACAATAGTTTGTTTCTTACTTTTTCATGAAATAGAGAATTACCAAGAAAGAGATAAAAATCAGTAGTGGACTTGCAATAAAATCACTAGCTCAATCCGTATTAGAGTAAGTACAAAGTTCCAAAGACTTAGAAGAACAAAGTAATAAACTCAACAAAAAATCCAAGTGTAGGCTCAATGAATTAAGGCCCAAATAGCAATGAGGTGTCCAACAGAAAATCAAAGCCCAACAAAAATCATTAGCAATAATGCCCAACAAAACAAAACCCAACAAAGAAAAAAAGAAAACCCAAATCAACAGCTTAACAGAAAGAAGCTCAAAGAATTGAGGTTGCCCAACAAAGAAAGAAGAAAAGTCAAACCAGTGGGCCTAAACAGTCCAATAGAAAGAANAAATCAAATAAAGAAGAGTGAAAGAAACTAGAAGAAAGAAACTATTATTGAAGCATAACTAGGTAGAACAACCTTAAAAAAACATTACATATAAGAGGTTTTTATATAATAGGGTAAAAGGAAAATAAACAAATTAAGTTAGGACAACATAAAAGAAAACAAATGTCTAAACTACTCTTAAGTCTAAATATGCTAACTATGCTAACACCCTCCTTCAAACTCATGGTGTGGGAGCAGAAAACATCAAGAGTTTGCTAAGAAAAAAACGGAAGCACGCGATGGTGTGAGATTTCGTAAAGAAACAATCAGCAAGTAGCTAACACAACTAAACTATCTTTGTTGTTGTGAATGTCAGAGCATGATACTCAGATTCAACAGATGATCGAAGCACAATAGTTTGTTTCTTACTTTTTCATGAAATAGAGAATTACCAAGAAAGAGATAAAAATCAGTAGTGGACTTGCAATAAAATCACTAGCTCAATCCGTATTAGAGTAAGTACAAAGTTCCAAAGACTTAGAAGAACAAAGTAATAAACTCAACAAAAAATCCAAGTGTAGGCTCAATGAATTAAGGCCCAAATAGCAATGAGGTGTCCAACAGAAAATCAAAGCCCAACAAAAATCATTAGCAATAATGCCCAACAAAACAAAACCCAACAAAAAAAAAAAGAAAACCCAAATCAACAGCTTAACAGAAAGAAGCTCAAAGAATTGAGGTTGCCCAACAAAGAAAGAAGAAAAGTCAAACCAGTGGGCCTAAACAGTCCAATAGAAAGAAGCCCAAATCAACAAATCCAAAGGATTGTGGTTGTCCAACAAAAATCACTAGCAACAATACCCAACAAAACATAGTCCAACAAAGAAAGAAGAAAAGTCAAACGCCCAACATAGAGAAACCCAAATTAGCACCAGCCCAACAAAACAAACTCAAAGGATTGTGGTTATCCAATAAAAAAAAACCACCAACAATAACTAGTTCAACGAGCAAGACCCAGTAATAAGAAGCACCAGCAGAAAAGAAGAGGCAGCAAACCCAATAACCAGAACTAGCAACGAAGGCACATAAACAGCCAATCGACACACAGGGAGAGCACAAATCCAATCACAAAACAGAAAGAAGAAGACACCAGCGAAGCCAAGAAAGACCTCCCCAGAACAGAAACCAACCAGCAAAAGCCAAGAGCAGAGAAACTAGAATTAAAAGAAGCAGACAACGCCAAGCAATCCAAAATTTGTCATAAATTAACTCAACAACTTTGTAAATCAAATACCCATAACAAATTGAGATTTCTTACATAACAATATAACAAAAATGACACTAAAAATCGAATTTCGGCACTGTTCACAACATGAACAGTAATTTCACTACTGTTCACAAACCTTAGAACCACAAAAAGTCAACAACCTATCAATCACTAGGCCTCAAATCACACAATCCAGCACTAAGAACCTTTAGTCGCACTACGTAAGCTTGATATGAAGTAAAAAAGTCGCTATAGATGGTGTCAGCCCTAATCCAAGAATTTATTCTTTCTCCAACTAAATTACTGTGGTACTACAATATATTTTTGATCGAAACAATGCTCTGATAATATGTAAACTTTGATCAAATAAAGAAGAGCGAAAGAAATTAGAAGAAAGAAACTATTATTGAGGTATAACTAGTCAAAACAACTTTAAAGAAAAATTACGTATAAGAGGTCTTTATATAGTAGTGTAAAAGGAAAACAAACAGACTAAGTTAGGACAACATTAAAGAAAATAAATGACTAAACAACCTCTAAGTCTGAATATACTAATTACTCTAATAATGGTGACCCGTCCCACCAAGGCGAGATGCTGTCCCTTTTTTCGCTTTCACTTGGAAGTAGGCTAAATCTATCGTTGTACATCGTAAAAAGAGAAAGAAATTAGAGATACTCTTAGGTGTACCAAAACTGATAAAATATGGATTTGAAAGGTGGAAAATAGATGATTTTGAACCTAAACATTTGATGTTAAGTTATTGTATATTGCTGTGCTGAATAAATAATTGTCATGTGGAATCTTATTTGTCGCAGTGTTACAAATCAATCAACTCATTCACGGGTTGATGCTGATAATGCAATTAATATTTTAGGCATAGGTTAAGAAGGGATTAGGTGATAATGGTATTTTATGCATCAATAATTCAGATTAGAAATCATAAAGGAGAAGGATAAGAGATCTTTGTAGATTTGTTGACGCATGACAAGTCTATTGCTTCCTTCCACGGTATTGGAAAAAATGTACTGTATCGTTTTGTGGCTCTTTTTTTTCTTTTTTTTGGGGTAATGAAATTTAAGGATTCATTTATAGTTTTTGAGGGTCATTTATAAATTTTAAGAATCATTTACAATTTTTATGGTTTAATTTATAATTTTTGTGGGTCATTTATAATAGTTAAGATCGATCGCAAATAACCCTAAAAAATTATAAACGGCCCACAAAAGTTGTAATATGACTTTAAAAGTATTGAATTTTTTTGTTGTAAACAATTTTTTTTTATTTTTTGTTCAACGTACTTCAACTAAATTTTTTTTTTGGTTTGGTCAAAAACATGTCATCTACGCTGGGATTAAGGTATTCATGAGTGATAGATTTTTCGAAAATTCGGAGGCTGGTCTCCCTATATTGACTTATTTAGAGATAAGTCCGTCAAAGAAACTTATTTGGTTTTAAGTTTGTTTTTTTGTCAATTTTATTATTGTAATCTTTCTCTGTAGAAATGTTATAAACGACGTTTATGGACACAATAATCAGTCATATACATCTCCTTCATAATTGCCTTCAAATCTGGTTACAATCTTTCAAGTCACAATGTTTACTTTTCTGAAAAACAAGAAATCGACATTTACCAAAAATTGTTTATGTTCAAATTTTAAATTCATTACATTACATAAAATATAATTTCAATTTACTATTTCATTTTACTTTGGATTCCATCGACAAAATATTAATATTTAAAAAATAACAATAGTAATATATTCAACAAAGATAGTAACATGATCATTAAAAAAATAGTAATATGCTCAAAAAAAAAATAGTAACTTTGTAAAAAAATAATAACAATTAAGGATTTAATTCTGTCAAAATATGCATTAACCATGTAACTAAGATTCAAGCGAACTCATTTATTAGTTCTAAATTAAAGTGTTATAGATTTCGATTTTGTTGATTTTTTTGTTGCGCAAGACAATTGAATATTCCTTGGTTGTGTTACTGTGGAAAAAATTCATGTTATTTTACGTTAACCGAAAGATGGAGTTCAAAATTTTGATGTCTTGATATTCACAATTGGTGTTGAGTGTCGTAATTCAACTGTCGATTGTGTGTTACTACTCGTTATTTTATAAATTTTTAATTTGTAGATCGTATTTTCACAAAAATCATTAATTCGAAAGTTGATATTACTGTAAAAAAAAACTATTGTCTTGTATTTTATAAAATTAGATGTGTTATTGAGTACAAAGCTTTGATGTTACTGTAAATATTAAAGTGTATGTTGCATAATATACGTCTCAAGGTTTGTAATAGTATGTTAAAATTCACTATAGTAACATTAGTAACATGATTATACTAGTAATACGGTCTTAATTGTAACTTCAATCATAACACGACCCTAACTTGAATGTTATTATATATTAACAT